CCGAGAGGGCGGTTCTCGCCAAACATTGAGCCCACCCTGGTGGATTTGCTGTGACAGTTTCCCTCTATAAGATAAGCTCCACTAACCATTTCCAATGAAGTGAAGGGGTTTTCTTCCCATTGTGTTTGATAATAAGGCAACCAGCTCTGTGTTGGTGATTGCTGCTAATACCACATGCCAAAAGAGACACTTTGATAGCATTGTCTTCCAACCCTTTTGATGTGTGTGTCTGTGTGTGTACTGTGTGTACTGTGTGTGTACTGTGTGTGTACTGTGTTCGTTAGTGTAGGTGAAATGATATGTTAAAATGAGGACTTCCCAGCATGCATTGAAGTGCATGTGTGTGTTTTCCAAAATCCAGACTGCCAGGACAGAGGCTAATAGTCATGGTGTAATTAGTTTCAGATTTAGCGTGAAGATGCCATGTGTTGTTCAGTGGGGATTAGGATAAAGCAACATGCTCTCTGTCTTTGTTCCTTCACACCCTTTGTCTCTGTTTTCCTCTTTTTTCCCCCCCTCTTCCTCTTTGCTCCAGCTTTTATCCTCTTCCAAACACCTTGCCTTTTACTTCCCCTTTTCTCTCACATCCACATCATAACTAGTAGCCTCATCCCTTCCTGATGAAATTATTTTTCTCTCACCCGTTCTCCCCCCCACAGAGGTGCCAGTGTCATCGGTGCTATGCCTGTCCTCGGTCAGAGAGCTGCCGGTTCAGGTCAGGGAGCTCTATGCGCAGGGGTTCGTCCTGGTCTCGGTGCACCCATTCGTCCACCCCTCTGGCCCTAGCCATGCGCACATCCAGCGGCAGCTTCACCGGGCGGTGCTGGTCCGAGAGACGCCAAGGTACACAAGCTAAACACACCCTTGTCATCAGTGTCTCTCTACTGCAAACTGTTTTGACTTGAAAGATTTAAACCGCAGAGTGATTTGATTAAGATAAATAAGATGATTTATTTGGAACCAGCTTCACGGAAAAGCTATTAGGTAGCAGCTTCTGCAACTTCATTGTTTGGAAGCCAATTGAAATCCCATTATCACAAGAACAATTCTGCGCTTCACCTTCTCTAGATTAAAATTAATTGCACACGAGACAGCCACAAAAAATGTCTAATTTTAGCTCATTGTCCCAGTTCTTTCACTTTTGGCTGTTCATGAAAATATACTGTTTGACATCCCATACTGCAAAGCTGTTCTTTAACTCAGTTCTTCACTTTTAACCCCTCTTCTGTAGTATCTTCTTCTGGTGACTTTAAAGACAGTCCGAGAGGCCCAACAGATCCGTTATGAAAACCACATTCACTAGATCCAGATTATTATTTGGGCCCTACCAAACTGCGCAAACTCATAATTATCAGTCTTCTAATTTTTCTTTCTTGGGTCATGTCCCAACCCTCCATAACATTTCGCTGCTTATAGTCTCAGTTATTCAAATGTGAAAGTAATAATTATGAGCCACAGGCACTTACCACATACCATTTCTCAATACATGGATATTTTGTGACATTTCCAAAACATGCAAGTGATCTATAATACATCAACTCTCTCCAGCGTATATCTGATTTCAGCTTCGTAGAACTTTATGATAATTTAGGTGAAGACAGTATCTGTGACTCTTGAGGATCAGTCTTTGTATTTTTTCACTCAGAGAACCAAAGTTACACATGTAGGCTTCCATTTGTTGTCACTTATTCTTTGCAATTAAAGGAACTACGCTGCTGACACTACAGTTTTAGGCATCCTCCTGAGTTCAATGTGCTCTTTCATTGTGAATTTAACGAATGGTGTGTTGCATGCGCACACACACACAAACGCAGTAATGCACGGGCAGGTGCTGGGCTGCTCCTTTGATGCCCCCCCTGCCAAGTGGTCCTGCTGCTTCTTGGCACCTGTCACCGTGGAGACGGCTGATTGCATCATCAGTGCTCGCCAGAGGGGAACGGCGCGCTGAATGAGAGAAACCCATCGCTCCATCCTTTCATCTCCTTTCTTCATTGATGGCTGTCCCCCCTTTCTTTTGTCCTCCTCGCGCCTCTTCGTCCCCTTTACTTCGCCTTTTATCTCCCCATCACCGCCTCCTCTTTCATCAAAAACCCTAAAAGTGGAAGAAGAGAAATCTGACAGATCTACTGTTTGAAATCTAGCCGGGAATGTCACTCATGCCTCAGAGCACAAGATATTGGCACGGCCTTCTCACTGACCTCAATCCGAATCTGAAGAGCCAAATCTGAATACTCCTTTTATGATGGTGTCTTGCAGCGAAGCAGAAAGAAATTCAGTCCTTTTTTTCTGTCTAATAAGTCTATTGTGATCATGTTGAATGTGTGCTCTCCTAAATGGAAAATTCATCCTGTTCCAGAATTGACATTATCTTTCTGCTGCGATCATTCTTGGCCAATGAGAGCACTTGAAGACGAGCATGTCAACCAGAATCTATACAGTCAAGGCTCATTTACACTGTAATGTTACTGTGTGCTGCATCTGCTTTGGCGATAATGAACAGAAAGCAAATGAAGCAAAGGAACATTTCATAAGAATGAATAGCTGTTTTATTTCTCACCCTGTAGTTCAGAGAAAAGCCAACTGAGGTGGGCGCGACACCGTCTGGAGACGGATGTGTGTGTGGCGGGTCACCAGGCCGCAGACCCCGAAGTGATCCAGAGCTACGTCAAGAGGGTGAGTTCAACAAACAAACAAAGGTAGTCAGACTTCACACTGTTCATTTTGCATGGATTCGTCTTCAAATACTGTGGGTTGGGATAAAAATAATGATCTTTGTTGTGTTGTACAAACAAAGCACTTAGTATTCTTCTAATAGAATCTAGTGGCTGAGTTTCAAACTCTGTGAGACTGTAATTTTCAGGGTTGTTGGAATAGGAGTTCAGTAATGAGGCATCTCTTCGGGGTGCACAGGCTCCACATTGCTCGACTTATTTGAGGGAAAGGCCCTGCGGCGAACACACACGCGACGACAAATCTAACTGAAGCATACAAAATGCCTCAGTTACAAGAAGATGGGAATATTTTAAATCTGCACTTTTTTGCTTAATCCGGTGTGAGAGTATTAGGAACGCACTGATACATCTTTGGTACTCCTACCACTTATTATGCATCAGCTCAGTATGTTCAGATATAGAGTGCACAAACAGACACTACAGGGCTTTTTGTCCAAATTTAAAATACACATGGCATCATTTTATGTGAGGTAACACACAGGTAGGTTATTAAAATGTACCCATAAGCATATTTCAAATAAAATAAAGAGAACTGTTCCTAAAATCCAAACCTATAGAGGACCCAGTACCGCCTAACAAACTTACCACTGCTCCCCACATAAATATGAGGCTGGTCAATTGTAGGGGGAGTAAGGAGAATGGGACAATATTAACCAGAATGGCACTCAGTAGATTGCATATCTCCGCCCAAAGATCCTGAGCTAGTAAAATTCACTTGCTCAGGATCTTTATTTGGATCTGCACCAAATTACACACAATCATAAATATCAGTCACTTAAACATGTCTGATTTTCAAAATGTTAAAGAAAATGAAAACAAATCCAGGATCTACCCCCTGATCCAGATCCACACTATCATCTAATGAATTCTTTCTTAACCCATTACACATCCTTCTGGAAAATGTCCTCCTGCTAACTAACAAACAAGCAAACATAACAAACCTTGACGTAGGTAACAGATGAAATAAGAAAATGGTTAAGAATAAGAAAACAACCATCTAGTGATCGACATATTGAAGTTAGTCCAATGAGAGGGTTTAGAAGATACAGGTCATTGAAAGTTATGCAAGACTTGCAAATGGAAAGTCTTATCTCTTCTAATTTAATATGAAATATGTCTCTCACAAACTAGCATAACGGGATAAGGATTTTCATTCAGGCAAGATAAGGCAGCAAGCCAATTTGTAAGAGCAACAATGAGGCTACACCTCATCCCTACAGAGCGTCCACATCTAATTGTCCTGGAACTTTTTTAATCAGTAACACTGAAAATGCTGCTGGATTTATTTTCCTGAGTGTTCATCTCAGCACACTACAAGGTGGTAGAGTTAGTTTAGCACAGCGAGTGATTGGTCCAAATGGCAAACATTTTCATACTAACTCAATGCAAAGACCAGTTTTCTATGTAAATGTGTTCATATAAAATTGTAACTTTAGTTCTTGGTACATTTTGATATTTTAAATGTCAGTCTCCCCCTCCTGCTGTACAGCACTAAACTGATGGAGTCTACACCCCTCCTGTCTGCGTACTTGTTGCACTGTGTGTTTCTGTGTTGCGCAGCACTGCTGTGCCAGTGAAGCAAACATTACGGGGCTCAAAAAGCTACAGGCAACTGCCTGTAATTGCCTGTGCATGCCATATGCTAACCCACAACCTGGCCCTGACACCCAGAGCCTCTCCAATTCAAATGGAGCAAATTAGATTTTCCTTTTTAGAAAATATTGTAAATTTACCTGACTGGAATGAGAGGAAAATAAACCAGCAACAGTGGATTCCAACTAGTTGCATCTGCTGCAACACTATTCAAGCTCCCGTGGCTGATAAACAAAAGGGAGGAGCTAGACAATGAGTGGAAGGTTACAGTATTTATGAGTGAACAATAGTGAGCGTTAACCCCGCGACACACTGCCAAACACAGCGTCATCGTTGGCATTTACCAGCTGTAAAACTCACTTTTAGTGTCCGCTCATGAATTTGCTAAAAGTCCTGTGATGGGAAATGAAAATGTGCTCTATTGAGTAGATTTGCATCTGAACACCCAGAGAGCACAAAGGGAAACCTGATTGGATGGAAATGCACATCACTGAGTATAATGTGATAGGCTCTGGCAGCGTGACATGAATAACCAATCAGATCACAAGCAGCCAGAGTTCGAGATAAGAAACCAGGAGCGGTACCGGGCGGATGGAGTGCACTGGATTGTGTGTGTGGGTGTGTGTGGGAGTGTAGATGTGTGTGGGTGTGTATGTTTTAAGATTTTGTACCTCTATTTTTCTTGCTAGCTAACACACTCAATCAGTGTGTGGACATACTCATTTGATAAAACTGTGTGTGTGTGTGTGTGTGTGTGTGTGTGTATTGGATGTAATAGACACTGTTTATAAATATGATGTGTGTGTGTGTGTTTATAATAATAATGTGTGAGTGTCAGAAGATGTAAGAGATAGGGGAAGATGTGTCTCATTATTGTTATATTGCGATCTGATTTCTCTCCTGTAGAGTCTGTCTAAAACTGTCAGCCCAAATATCAACTGACAATTAACCACCAGAGCCTCCATGGGAGGGAGTGAGACACACACGCACACACACATACGCACACACGCAGATGTGTTGATATAATGAGGTCCTTTTGTCATTTGAATATTTGATCTTTGCAGATGATTAGGTAGGTTGTTATTTTGCAAAATATCTCCTCTGCATACGTCAGCCTTTGTTTGTGTGTAAATGAGGCTTTGTTTGTCTGACTGTAGTTGAAGAGACTGTCAATTTATTTCTGGTGCTGCGGATGTCGTGTTTTATATTCATCTGTCACTCAGATTTGATTCTAATTCAGTGTATTGGTGTATGTGTATAGGTGATAATGTTGTGTGTGGGGGTGTGTTGCCTCTACAGATCCAGGATGTAGCGGAGCAAGGGATGATGTTTGTGGGCTTTCTTCAGCAGCCAGGTGGCGCACCCTGCTTTCTGGGGCAGTGGGACCCAGAGGAGCTTTCGTCCTTACACTCAAGCCCTTCGCCCATACATCGAAACCCCTTCAGCGCCACCACCAGCCCGACAGATCTAACAGAACCACATCAAAGTGGGGCCGAACCCGACGATCACCCTTTTGAACCTCAAGAGTTAGATCATGAAAAGGGAGAATGTAACACGCAGCCTTTGGTGCCCAGAGAACTGGACTTCAGCACTCTGAGTCCCACCCTGAGTTCAGAGCTCAGCGCAGAGGAGCCAAACGAACAGATTCAGACCTCACACATCATTTTGAAAGAGTCGCTGGAATCAACAAACCAACCTCAACATAACAGTAAGTCTGGCGTGGACACGGATCAGTGGTGTCCAAGTCCGAACCCAGCAGATACCCAAGGGAGCCAGCTGCGTCTCAGAGAGCAGCAGCGTCGCGTACCAGAGCACAGAGACTCCACAGAGAAACACTTTCACCTTCCCAACCAGAGAGAAAAACGAGGTTCAAGCCCAGACGGCTGGCTCAGCTCTCCAGAACTCGAGCGCAGCCATGAAAGAAAGTTCAGCTCGCTCTGTACGGATAGACAAAGCAGAGAAACGACACACAACAACAACCATATTTGTCTTAAGAGTTCAGAGAAAGATAAGAACACAACTTCACCACCAGCACAGGCTCGTAAGTAACCATCCTCCTCTCTGTTTGACGAACCTTCAGGAAGTGGATCTATCTTGGTCCACTTCCTAATTTCCCTGTTTTTTTGTGATTGCAGGGATGCAGCTCTTTGCCCTGTACAACCACACGGGAGAGCTGAACACTTCTCTGAGGTTCTACTCGCTGAGGGTGCCACTTCAGCTCCAGAAGGAGGCGGGGCTAATCACAGAAGTCGATGCGCACTGGCTCGACCACATGACGCAGCATTTCACCAGCGGTGCCCGCCTCATCGACGGGTTTTTCCACCTTGGAGATGATAACGGTGGGTTGCAAGGGCACAGCAATAACACCAGACAGATGTGGTACAGCAAAACTCTTTATCACATCCTGGCAGAATAGATGACATGAAGCTTAGGAAATTATTATTACCTGATTGTATAGGCTATAATATAATAGTGTCATTATGTAAGTGGATTGAATTTCTTTAATCTTTGGATTGTGCCAGTTGAGCTGTCCCAACTTTTAGTCTGTATGTTAAGCTAAGTTAATCCCTTCCTGGCTTTAGTGTCAACAAACTTCCAACTATTCGCACAAAATAACTAGAAGGCCCAACAGTCCCCTTATAAAACCACATTCAAATTCACTCGCTTCTGATTTTTATTTGGATCTGCATCTAATTGCACATACTTAATATCAGTCCCCTAAACATTTTTTCTCATTAGGATCCTTGTTACATGTCCCACACCTCTACAAAACTCTAGTAGTTGAGTAGTTTTTACATAATTCTGCTAACTGCGCCTGAAAGTGGTTAAAGAAGGAGAAGTAATTTTTTATGATTTCCCCTCAGCCGGGCGGAACACTAACAAAATACGAATGCAACATATACCGTCCTTGGCGATATAAAAACTATTCCATTGAAGTTCACCTACGTTGAACTTTATGTCAAAGATGAAAACTTGAGGGATCACCAAAGTCAGTGCAGCAGCCACTAACATGACTGACAGCTGCCATTCCCCTGTTACTCGTCTTTCTTAAATGAATAGTTCAAACTCTTAGAGGAATTTCCTCCAAGAGGAAAAGCTGCTCAGGAGATCTCTGCTTCACTGGTGGGTAATGAGCATTTCTGTCATGTGCCGTAAGTCCACGGCTTACACTGTAAGTCACTGTTCAGTCACCCATAGAATAAGCAGGCTTATACAGGAAAGTGGGGATCAATAGTGAGAGATTGGAGCATCTGAATCACATCCATCCTCCACCATTCATCTGGCTCCAATTTGTCCCGGTTTCTCTGCAGACACAGGCGTTTCATCTGTGGACAGTGTCTTCATCTTCCAGAGCTCTGCGGAGGAGACCACAGACACCTCCTACGATGCCATTGTGGTGGAGCAGTGGACCGTTGTTGATGTGGGTCTTTTGAGATTCTAATACTGAAGAGAAGATGTGCACTTTGAGAAATCTTTTTGTGACTGAAGGCTTAAGCTGTTTTCTGTCTGACATTACGTAAGAGTGGAGATGAAGCAGAGAAGGGTGCACGTGCATGTGGCTCAGCTTAATTTTGCTTCAATTAATGAGCACTATACTGTGTGAATGACTGTATGCAGTTGGTGTGAGTAAAGTTTCTGTCTCTCTCTCCTGCTCAGGGTGTGGTGGTCAAGACAGACTACATCCCATTGCTCCAGTCTTTGGCTCCGTATGGATGGAGGCTCATGTGTGTGTTACCCACGCCCATTGTCAAGACCAACAGGTACAGGACTGCATCCGTAGATGTCACTGTTACTGCCATCTACTCAAATCTCCTGTAAAGCCCTCCTCTGCAGCTTTTAGGGGTCGGTTTGGTGTTTGTCAGGAGGATTACGTCAAGACTTCTGAAAGGATTTCCACGAAACTTGGTGGAAGGATGAGACATAGATCAAGAAAGAATCCATAAAATCCTCCCAACAAAGGGGTGGATCCAGGAACTTTTTTCACCTACATTTCTGAACATTCCTGTTTGGGCTTTTCTGTCTGTGGTAATTTCGGTTGTAGCTTTCTTTCTTAAACTGTAAAAGTAAAGACCGGCTCAACTGCTGCACAAAGAGCCTTGACCTGTTTTTTAAACTTCGGTGAAGTTCGACTGTCATAAGAGCACAGTTTTGGTGATCAAAAATTTTGAGTTGCAGCTGGGTCAGAGCCCCAGTCGCCACTTTAAAGGCGTGTCCAAATCCGACTCTGCACTTCCTCAGGTCCTTAACTACACAAGCCTGAAGCCAATAAGATGAATGGTTCTCGACTTGAGATGTGCATTCCACTCACAGACAGACAGAGATTTCTAGAATTAGTAGATAAACACCTTTCCCAGAGAATAATCTTGATGGATCTTGATGAACAAAAATCAGGTATATACAGAAGGACTTGAAGAATTTGTTGCAGCTTAAATGAATCTAAGGGGACTGTTGGGCCTTGCATGGTGGAGGGATGCACTCCAATGAGTCTCATTCTTGTTCCTTACATCTGATCATCAGAGCAAAGACTAATTATTACCTTGTTGGTTTCAGACTTAATATTTTTCTCTCCTGTGTCGTTCTGTTTTGTGGATTCGTGCTGACGGTTTAGACTCTCACGACAGATGGTTTGAGATCTGACAAACCACGATCACATGCTCATCCCAACATGAAACCACGTTTGAAATTCATCGGAGCTGCGAACAAAAAGAATCCAGTCGCTAATCTGTCACTTTACAAACCACAGCGAACAAAAAAACATATTTCAATACATGTAGCGATATGCCGGCTCATCAGATTGTAACAGTAGTGAAAGTGCTGCACCTCTCTCTCTGCAGTGACGGGAGTTTGTCGACCAAGCAGATCCTCTTCCTTCAGAGACCCATTTTGCAACGCAAGAGAAAAGACTTCAAGGTTTGTTCCCCTTTTTCCTTCCATCTTCGCTGCTCATCTGTCACTTGTCTCTGTTGTACCTCCAGGATACATGACTTTATGTCACAAAAGGTGCCATTAAAAAGTCAAGTTGCTAAATATGGGATGTACAGCAAATATAAACCCGCTCCTGAAACATCTAATAATAGGCGACTAGTCGGCCTCAAACTGTACAGGAAAGAGGCGTCAATGAGAGAGGCTTTGTTGTGGTTTGGCAGGTGTCTGGAGACATAGGAGGAAGAAAGACGCGGCACAAAGCGCAAAACTGTCACACACACATCTGTTTGATTTCAGATGCTGAACCTCAGGGGTCGCAGCAAGGCAAAGAAAAACTCTCCCGGCGAGGACGAGAGAGAGATCAGGTCCCTGATGATAGAGGTAGAGATGGACAGGTTGAGAAGAAACACAAACGAGGAGGAAGCAGAGGCGAGGAGGCGCTGGGATGGCGGAAGGAGCGATAGGGCGAGCCTCCGGGAGCGTGGAGAGGAGTGGGAGGAGGAGGAGGAAGACGTGGGACATCAGAGGGGCTCCGTGTTCCTATCAGGGAGCAGGTTTTCTGTTGAGGACCAGGAGGAGGAAACTGACATTGATGTGATCCCTCTGTCCAAGCAGGAAAAGTGTGTGAGATGGACAGATGTGTGTCAGAGAGATGGCGGAGGGGTCAGGGAGGAGGTGAAAACGGAAGAGCGCATCAAACAGCAGCTGTTTTCCGGCGTCTGTTGAAACCTTGGGAACAGAAAGAATGAAACCTCCTTTAAAAGACCTAAAGAAGAGTCTTTTAAAGGAGTGTTTTGTTGAGCTGGATTTTTAGTTCCTCTGTGGACATTGATATCCTGTATTTATATCACGCACTGTTACATCAGTCTGCTCTGTTTAGGACGTGAGGCTTTCAGGTTGTAGCTCCTGTAAAAGGGGAACTTGTTGTGCAGTTTCTCTGCTTTGGGTCAGTGTTGCTGTTTGATGTGTTTGAGATGAAATGAGACTGAACCACACAAAGTCTCCAGTCTGAAGCCTTAAGTATTATTTTCTTGCCCATTGTTGTATTTTACTACTTTCTTGTGATAGGGCTGTTAGAAAGGGAGTATTGATTTCACTGGGCTGTTTGTATTTTTATATGTTAACTAAAAAAAAGACAGGAGAAAAAAGTGTGAAGTAAACCACTTTAGAGCTCATCTGATAAATCTGCATCACGTTATGTGTTGGCCAATAAACCACAGTTTTACTTCAGATAAGCCAAAGATGTTTGAGGTAATTTATTATGAGTGGAGGTGAGTTTGCTTTAAAAATTAAAAGAATGGAAATACTGTATCTGTTAACTTATGTTTAGTCAAGATTTTATAATATTTAATTCATCTGGGCCAAAAGATGACATAAATTATTGATTCTCTACACTGCAGTAAAGTAGTATGTGGTGTATGTAGTACGCTCTATTGGGAAGCTAAATGTTAAAGGGCCGGTTCATGTAAATACTCATAGTATTTTGTCATTAGAGCCAGTGTAAAAGTAGCTCTCAACTTGGCACTTTCCTTAGAAACTCTATCAGTTTAACGTTAATGCAATCAGTGCTGTGTGCAGTGACCTATTTTATTTTCTTGGTTTCAAAACCTGGACAAATCAAATGGTCCATTTGCTAAAATAACACAGAAATGAGGAAATGCTTTTTGTAATTTGAGTGAACTGGCCCTTTCTACACTTGAAATAATGTATATTTACAATCAGCTCTTTATTACTTATTGTGTGCAAGTAATGTGACAAGCCTTTATATGAAAGCAGAGGTCAATATAAGTGTCAACCCAGATCGACTCAGTTTCCTTTATTTCCTTTAAATGTCACGCTACCATCATAAACAGTTTTCCTCACACGAGGAAGAAATGCAGCAATGACTCGAATGAGTCTCAACGGCGCTGCCCCCACAGAGACAACAACAAGAAGCCCGCTACCATCTCCGAGGGACGTTCAGTGATCCAAGCGAATCGGAGACCACCTGGAGGTTCCATTACAGTGCACCATGGGATACTCACTCCACCCTGGGATGGGAAACTGTTCATGGGTATGTGGATGTGTTTGCATGTAATAGTGTAAATGAGTAAAACAGGCCGGGACACTCGTCTGTGTGTGGGAGAGATGTGTTAAGTTTCTTTCTCTAAAAATACAGCGAGTGGTGGAAACAATCCCTCCATTGTAACTCAAACGACTCCAACCTCTTCAAGTCTGCAATTAAATAGCGCTGAGGTATTTCACTAAGTATATACACACGTGGTTTAAAACATTTTATCAAGTTAGCATCAGAGGTATTTGTATAAATGAAAATCACTCAAACACTTCAGTGCAGTGTAAAAACAGAAGACTTTGCTATTGTTCAAGGGTTCTCGGTTCTAGAGAATTGAAAGCAGTAGATTGACATTTAGAAAAATGTGCTTATTTGCTTTCTTGCAAAGTGTTTAAGGTAAAGATATATTTCAAGTGTTAACTAGAAACAGGGAGAAACCACTGGCCTGGATATTTAAAGACACATATCTAATTTTTTACCTCATCTGAGGAGGTTATTAAATCAAACAAATGGACAGGAGCAAACAGCCCATGAGGAGTAATAGAAATTGAGCTTGTGAAGTAAACATAAAATAGAGTAAGGAATTATTTATGATTTTTTTAAATTGCATGTTTTAAATAAATGTCAGTCAGGTTTTTGTGAATAATGGATGGAGGCACAGCACAGTTGATTATCTGAGCGATACAGTTTGAAAAGAAAATAGCAATGGTACAAACGGCTATACACCACACATTTTTCATCACCTCCATTATTAATTCTAAATTAAAACCTCAGTTATTTTGTGTCACTTCAACACTTGAGGCTGTTTACCCACAATGATAATGACAATTTTGTGGGAAATGATAAAACATGGTTATGTTTTCATCATATTACAACAGTTTTAGTCAAATCAGCTTTAAGTTAATCAAATCACATAATTCATCGCTCAAATTTGACCCCTCCTACTGTATTTGTTTTTATCAGTTAATCCATTTTTTTCCTCCTGTTTGTTTTAAACGAAAATCATGTTTTTATGGGGTGACATTTTCACCACTTCCCCAGGGAATAATCCAGAGATCTTGATGAAAACAATCAGGTATATTTAAAGAACCGATATCAACGAGAGTGGGCAATTTGGTGCGGCTTGATTGATTTTAACTGTTGTGTAAAAACAAATGTCAGTATTATGAAGGAGGTTATGTGCTGGATCTGGGTGATTGACATCCTGGCAATTCATCGACACGTGACCCCACGTAAAAGTACAAAAATGTCTGCTTTACACTGTACGGATTAATAAACAAATGAGATAAGCCACATGAAATGAGCTTAGTTTCCTTTGGAGAGAACCTTAAAAGCAGTTTCTTGCTGTTTACTGTCTTTATTCTAAGCTAACTGCAGGTTTATATTTACCAAACACAGTGGCGTCATTTACCCATATAAACCTTGGCAGGAAAGCGAAGAAGTGCATTTCCCAAAATGTCAAACTAATCCTTTAAGACATGCTTGCATAGGTTAATTGGTGCGTCAATATTTTGGTAAGAATTCTGGGTAAAACTAAACATCACCTATTAATCTGTTTAAGCAGAACCTCAGTCAGGCAAGTGGAGGCTGATAATATGGAATCTGAAGGTATGTAACGTGTCTATCATGATAATGAAGGGGTCACTTCAGCAAGGCAGTAAAAATGTCTTAAAGTTTTACTGTCTTTTTCAGTCTTCCTTTTTGAAGGATGAGAAATAAAATAAAAAATAAAAACCGCTCCCGGAGTCAGCTGATAACAGAAGCGTGGGCGGTCCCGGGGGTCTATTGCTGGTTCAGGCACAGGTTGCAGCAGCAGGGATCAGAGGATGAATTTCCTCAGCTGCTCGAGCTCTCATATTTATGTCCACATCGCTGGAATATCTCGGTTCCTTTCCGTTCTTGCCACACCCTTTGTGTCCTCCTGTTGATTTCTGCAAACTGTCGGAGGTTCTACCACCACTTCTCGAAGATGATCCTGTCTTTCGAGAGGCCGAGGTCCATGAGGGTTTTCGAAATGGCTTCGATCATGGGCGGGGGCCCGCACAGGTAACACAAAGTCCTCTGTGGGTCCACATGAGCCCGCAGCTCCTCCTCTGTGATTCTCCCACCTGAGGAGAGACACAATTAATCAAGAGTCAGTGCCCAGAGTCTCCCACGTGGAGCTTTGATAGTGTCTGTTCTACAAGATGACACAGATAAATCAACAAAGACAGGCTGTGCTACAATGTGACAGTCACTCAGTCATCCCAGCTATACAAATAAAAGTATGTGTGAGTGTGTGGGCTTTACTTACGGTTGATGAATGGCTGGAGGTGTGGGTCGACATCTGTGCTCTGTTGCGTGACGTGGAAGTCACAGGAGAACTTGTCAGGGAACTCCCGACACGCCTCCATGATGGAGCTCTGGGAACACAGAGGCTAGGTCTTAATACATTTGTTCCATCCTTACACACTGCAACTCACTTTCCTTTATATAGCAGACACATCGGAACAATGTTGAATACATAACTGAGATATTCAGAGATTTAAGTAAAAATTAAGGTCAAACGTTTCCTAAAATTCCTCCCACTGATCTCACACACACCTGGAAGAGCAGCTCGTGGGTGTTCTTGGCGCTGTAGCAGAGGTGAGCAGAGCCGATGTTGTAGTCAGCGCTGCCGGAGGAGTGGTTGAGATGCTGCAGATCTGCAGCGTGCAACAGAATGGAGTACAGAGGGTTGATCCCGACGCCGCCAGCCACCAGAAGCAAATCCACAGAGGGATCAGAAGGTGACGGGTCAAAGAAGAAGTCCCCGCCAACACGCATGGCCACCTGGGAGCCCACTTCACACTGAGATGTGGGAGGGAAGAGAAAAAAAACATTTAAAATGGAAAAGAAAGATATGGAAAAAAGTGATGGCAGCAGACGTTAAAGAGATGGACGCTTGGACTCGGAACCTTTTTCGTGAACTAAGCAGCTGAAACCAAACTTTTCTGAGACATGAGAAGTAAAATCTTTGCTAATTTTTTAATAAGATCTCAGACACCATCAACAAAAGTTTGACAATGAGTTAGCATCTGGTGGCTTCCGGTGTAGACAGAGGATATCCAGGCCAAGACTCAATCTTCCATTTGTCGGGTAGGGAGTAGGAATTTATTAATTTACTCAAGATGCAGGAGCTCAAAGCAGTTTATGAGTAGCTGTCATCAAAACTGATGCTATGAAAATCTGAGTAAAAAGAGGGAAGTGTAATTCATAGTCACACAATGGATTAAAAAAAGATCCAATGTTACAGAGCTATTACAAATTTAGAATTAATTTCTTTTAACTTTTATATATCCTGTCCTCTTCTGAGCGTAACTACAGTTTCAATCAACTCACTTTAACTGACAGTGATTAGATGACTGAAACACTTCAGAGGTTATAGGGCAAAAAATGTATTTTATGGCTGAATTACCCAAATATTGATTCAACTCAGTGCTTCTGCAGGGTCGGAACACAAAGGAAAGAATGAAATAGGAAATCTGAAAATATCATCTGGCTTTTTTTTCTTCTGACACTCAACATGTATAACAACCAGTGGTGTGATTATGCAGCGGTAATCATTTTCCAACTATAGCACATCCCCTTCTCAGCACCTGATCCTGTTGCTCCACTCATTTGCTTTCTGCATCTCTTTTTCTAACACTCACACCTTGAAATTACTTCACCTTCTCTCTCACACAGAAAAAACTGCAATCTTCCTTTTTCATGAACAAATCTACTTTCTGAGAATATTCCAACTCCTGGAAAGAAGCAAACCTAACAGCTATCTCGAATAACTTTCATTCTATCATGAGCACTGATAAACGTCTTTTACACCAAAATTAACAGGTATGCGAAGTTTTAAAAAAAGAAAATAGTATCATGTTAAAAAAAGGTGAAAGACGCCTTTGCCATTGCCAGTAGAGGAGTTTGTCATTTTTTTTTCATTTCTCTCACTTTGCTGTCTTGCATTATACGAAGAAAAAAACAAAAAAACGTTAATGGCTATTTACCAGCTGAAAACTAGAAGTTCAATGTGCGTCATAATGTCGGAAAGGGTGTGCGTTAGTGTCTAGACTTCTCGATGCTGGTGCTTTAGTGCTTATTAAAAAGAATAAAAAAAGAAGAATTACCGTAGTGTGGACCCAGTGTGCCGGGGGGTGTTTGGTGTATTTTACGGCCAGTTCAACGACCCCTTCCCGTTGTAGCAAACACGGACTGGAGCACATGGAGAAACCTCCCACCTTCTCCACACCGGGGATGAAGAAATCCACCCTACACACAACCACAAAACATGATCGTCAGCTGATGAGCAATTCAATGTAACTGTATTGAAATGTATAGTATGTATCGCAATAACATGCACATGGTCTGAACATAACTTAAATCCCTTGGTTGAAACCATAAACACACTTCATTTGAGCAGCAAAACAGTGGACTTTTCAGATTTTGAAACAATAGTTAAGAGAAGAGTATAACAATGTGCTGAACTGAAGGTCAACATGTGAACGAAGGTGGAGTGGTGACCTTTGACCTTGCACAACAGGTTCCAGTGGTTCCAGAAAAGAACAAAACCAAAGCGGATGGAAAGTTGCCTACTAGTAAGTGTATTCAAAGTGTTCCATTAACAAGAAGAGTGGACTTAACCCCCCTCCCTCCAAGAGGAAAACAACGATGCTAACAGTCAGGCTCATGTTCCACCAACACAATGACCCACTGTTACACCAGAGAGAGACACTGACTCTACAACCCTCAGAGGCATCATAAATATGGATCTGCTCTGAAGACGCATATGTTCCACCCACCATAGCCTCCTTCTCCTCCTCCTCCTCTCCCACCTGGAGACCAACTACCAAACGCTATTTTTTATAGAAACACTGGAACTAAAAAATCCTCCATCTATTTACATTCATTATCAGTTGCCGCGGGGCAGCTGCCTGCCAGTTTTATATCTCACCACCGCCCACCTACAGTATGGCCCCATATACATATTCTGCACGTGCAGGGTACACTAATTATCACTACAAATACAGACTGGCAGACACAAACTTGGAAGGAAAACTCTGCCTAATTAAAGAAATGCTTAACTTTGTACTAGTTTTGATCAAAACTTATTTTTATAAGATGTATTTATTAAAACCTGTTCACAAAACAAAATTAAAACCCTCCAGCGCAGCTCTGTAAAACAAATCCTTGTGATATAATGGTTGTGTCATTTTCATTTTGACACACTATGGATCTGCCTTCAACTGTAAATGTATTTTATTGTGAATGAACTTGACTGACAATTACCACAGATACAAATGGAAATGCAGAAAGGACAAGAAATAAGACTAACTGAGCTAAAACATCCCATAGTTTCAGGCATCGATCAAAAACATTTTCTCCAGCATCTTTCAAGTCAAAGCTGCAGATATATTTGCAACACGTCGCATACGACAGTTCTCTTCACAAATCTTTGAGGAAACATGATCTTATCAAGTCAACAACTATTTTGTTTGTCCTTATTGGACAAAGGATTTTGAGTCTATAAATCCCTTGATAACAAGTGTCTTCATTTTATCAACATCAGCTCTGCATGCTGACTAACATTAGAAACTGTTCATGGTAAAGTTCAACTCCAGTGATAGAATAAATAAAACACAACACTCACACCTTGTGGTGACTGCAAGTAGTACAGGCACAATGAAATTACAAAGTGAGCTCAGGTCTGAGTATCTTTGGCAGTTTCTGCAAATTTCAGAGAATGTTTAACAAGTTGGTGGAAACATTGTAAGAGCCTCTACTCACCACTGTCCCGCTTTAAAGCTGAAGTCTGGATGGACGGCTATCCTCAAACGTTTCACCGTCTCTGACTCATTTATCATTCCACATACTTGAGCAGGATACAGAGGCTGTTTAGAATGGGTTAATTTGTCAAAGGGTGGGTTATTCGTATTTGATGCAGTCATGTCACACAATGTCACAGTTGACAGATACGTATATGAATCACAAAATATCAACTTACACTTTGTCTGGAGTTGCTTGCTGTCCTCTCCAGGTGGTCCATTTGTCTTTTGGAGGACATATTTCTTCTAATAAAGAATGACAGTTTTTGTCAGGTGCCTTGAAAGTCAAATATCCTCTTTAAGAGTTAGTAAACAGAGAGTGACAGTCTCGTATGACGAGTAACTTTGAAACAAACCTTTGCCCTCGCTGAGCCAACTTAAAGGGCCAGTTCCCCCAAATGACGAAACCACGTATTTTGACACTAACCTCTTGTCCAATCGAGCTTTGTGGATAGTTTTGCTTTTATGTGTTTAAATAATGGGATATTGACCTCTGACACTTGGCATCTGCTGCTGCTCTCATACAAATGGAGGTGAGAGCTATTTCATTTGTAGCATTATTTTAAAGAACAGACAAATCACATTTGAAAAACACCTGGGTACTGGGACGACAACAAAAGTCTATGGCGTTGGAACATTATTATTAAAAAGCCTGTCACTCCTAATCCTTGTGTCTTCGCTATTTATGATGACACAAATATTGGAGGTGTTGGTTAAATGCTCAAAACACATGAAAACACCAATTTTGTTTACAGCCTCCATGTTTTTGTGCCAGTTCCCCAGTAAAAAAGAACTAGTTTTAAGTTCAGTTCATACAGATGAAAATTAACTAGTTCACGTTAATAGTTAATTTCTTTGAATTTTGAACTAAGTTAAAGTGAGAGTAGGTCAGCAGGAGTGTGGAGGGAGGACACAGGAAACTCCAGCAAATTACAAACCAACCTTCTGATCATTGAGCAGCTGTGGACCAGAGAGAAACTCTGTGTTTTCACTGTTCGTTCCCACTGTTCTTCAACTAAGTAACTTACCGGATGGTTCAGGTTAATGCTCCTCTGATCTCACTGTGTGTGTGTCACTCTAAGCCAGTGAGTGGGGTTGGAGTCCCGGGGGCCTGATTTTGAGTGTGTGTGTTTGAGTGTGTGTGTTTGAGTGTGTGTAAACTCCAACCTGCTCCCAGTCTCAAACAAACTGGCTTCAGCAGTGGTAGATGCATCCGTATCAGGCTACAGATAATGTAACGTTGTCAAACATTCACCCACAGGATGAGTAAAAATAGCGACATTTCCAGAAAAGTAACAGCAGATGTTGTGAGTGCAAACTTTGGATAGTCAGGACAACAGACACAACCTGTACTTCTCATAGGAGACTCACCTTCTGATGGAGCTGGGCTGGACCAGCAGCCGGCAGCAGAGCAGACCGGCGGTGGGACACGGAAGGCTAAGGCTTCGGGCAGCGGAGGACAAGAACCCCGGGACGCTCATCACGACCTGTTTGATTCAGAGAAGAACATCTGGCGTTAGCTGACAGCTGTCACTTACCTTTACCACGGATGATTGACCCTCCAGCTAGACCCTGAGCTGTGTGAACATAATGGACGTGAAGGCACCACACACCAAACTCCTCTTACAGAATGATCTAGTATGTCCTCACATTGATAACAGCTACATAAATATCATCCAACTACACCAGAGACAGCCTCAGTACACATGGATGTTACTGACACTGATCGCTGCCACAGCCGAGGTTGAAGGGAATAATGTTTGAAACGCTACACACTGCCTAAAAACCGGTCCTGTGCGTTATTGTAATTATTTTTAGTTTTGACTGGAACTTCTCCGTCATGCTGATGCTGAGGGTTAGCACACTAGCTAACGCTGCTAGCATGTCAACGCCGGTGTTTTCTATTGGACAATCAAACAACTGTAACCTGTCAACAACGAGCTGTGGCGCTTCTTCTCTCACCGAGACAAGACGACGCAGTGTTTCTGTCAGATGTCGTTCATACTCTCATCCGGGATCTTCGGTGTAACCTTGGTTCTGTTGTAGTTACATGACAGAGCTCCGTTTCTTCTTCTGCGATGTCAAGCGGCAGCCTGGCGTCTTCTTCTGCGGGAAGGTTGGCGATTTGGGTTCAGCTAGTTTCACCAGCGCCCTCTCCTGGACGAGAAGCTCCGAGGTCTATATTCATCCACTGACCAATCATTCAGCAGCATGTAAACACAGTCTATGGTAAACACTTGGTAAACACATACAAGGGAAACTTTAAGTACAAGTTTAAACGTGTCGTATTAATCTTTGTTTGCTACGAGGCATGATGCAGCTAAATGATGCACACATGTCAAGAGATTTTCCTCCAACAGTAAGAAACATTTGAAGAGTTTTTTTTGCCTAAAATTCGCTCAGTTGTTCCATTACATTCTGCATCATGTTTCACACAGCAGAAATCTGTATCTTTATATACAGTCTATGAGTTACACACATCCTTAGTTTGTTTAACTCAGGTCACAGAAGAGATGTCAAAGAAAATTTTGAAAATATACAAAGTCACGCGTTATGTTTCACGTTGTGATTGATACGTTAACGTTACCTGACGAACGTAGCTAGCTGGCACTAGTTAGCTTACGTTTGCCAAAAAACGTCACTTGCACACTGAAGACAACATTGTTCTCAACAAAGAGCTGACTTTATAACCTTACGCTCGCGGACTAAGGTGGACTTGTCGCTAACTTTCTTGGGGACATGCAAACCAATTAGGCCTAATCCCATTTCACCCTGCTAGCGTTGGCATGCTAGCGATCTGTTTTAGCACGATAATCCCGTGTTTTCACATAATTTCATGTCGCATTTACTTGATCGAACCCGCGTACAGCCGCAGTGTTACTGAATTTAGCTGCTCCTCTAATAAAGGGTCCCGGCAAGGTTGTCTCCAGACCACTGCTAGCAGCCTGAAGCTGTGGGCTTAACATTCATACATGAAATAATGCAGAGTATCCAAGTTTTTTAATTTTAAATGTCATTGATTCATCTGCATTAGCATAGATAATATTTGGATATTATACATTTGTCACTTTAGTAACTGTAAAACAATAGCATTGGTTTAATGAAGATCTCAACAATGTTATTAAGACATCCCAACAAAGTAAAATAACATTCAACCTACATATTATGGAGTGGATGGACATGGCTGTTGCTCCTCTGCTCTCATGCTCTCATGTCAAGATTCTTTCAATTCTCATGCAACGCAATCGATATCAACAGTATTTAACTGTAACATGCATCATCTACAGTCAGAATACAACATGCCTGTAATTGTACAATGTGTTATTGTGGAAAAATGCTGTCAGGTACTGTAATTGTTTTGGACCCATGATGCATTGCGATATACGGATACAAGAAGTTAAAAACTTGGATTTCATAATATGCAAATGATGACTTTGAAGATCAAAGTAATGTACAGAGATTAAAGGACGCATCAATGTACATATTAGAGTCCCGTAAGAGTGAGCCTCAGTCCACCACTCTGATCTACTGAGAGAGAGCGTCCATTCTCGAGGTTAGCATTAGTTTTGCACTAGTAAAACCACGTACACTTTTCACGTGAGCCTTTCTGTTGTTGAGATTGATCATTCACAAACAGTTTGGATCACTGATCACCATGTCTTCCAGGGAAATGTCTTGGAAGTTTGAGGATTCAACGAAAAAAGGTCAATGTTGATAAAGTCAGATATTTAACAACAGAGAGACACTTCAACTGTGATTTGAATCAGAATGTATTTGGTTATGAAATGAACATTGTTTTCATTAAGTTTTTGACCAAAGTAAATATGTCTCAGTTGGAAGCATTGAAAAGCCCTCGGACGATCCTTGTTAATGAGATGAGATGAAATGAATCTGCTGTGAGTTGAACTGTTGAACCAACATGTTACTTCATGTTGTGTCCATCTCATCCTGTCCACCACAGCCAACCTCCTGACCCCCAGAGGATCTCTGCTGGATTCCCGCTATAGTGTGGAGGGATTTATTGGCGAGGGAACGTTTGGCCAGGTTGTTAAGTGTCTGGACACTAAGATGGACAGGAAGGTGGCCATCAAGGTCACCAAGGGCGGCTTCTATTTGCAGGAGCAGTCTCTGACAGAGGTGAGGTACAAACTGTTGGTTTATCAAAACTGAAGCTGCAGTTACCTCTAGAAATATTTTGTCATTACATGGATCACATTTATAAAACCTTCCTAAATAATGACCATGCACTTTGCGTTTTAGGTGAAATCTAAACTTTAATTTCTTCCACAGATTGAAATTCTCCGACAGATGCAGATTCTGGATCACGACCAGTGCAGCATCGTTCAGTGGCACGGATCATTCGTCCACAATAACTGGATGTGTCTGAGTTTTGAGCTGCTGGACATTAATCTGGAAGACTACCTGCAGGAAGTAGCCTACATGCCCCTGGCTGACATCCGTCAAGTTCTACAGCAGGTATGTTGGATTTCCTATTTATTATTCCCAGAAGTTTCCAGTGCAGAATTGTTATTGACAACAACAAATATTTTTTTGTTTCTTCAGCTGGCAACTGCACTGGTTCACCTGGAAGCCCTGGCTATTGTCCACGGAGACATAAAACCAGGGAACATCATGGTGGTGAATCGGTGTCAGCAACCACTAAAAGTCAAACTAATTGACTTTGGACTTGCTTGCCATGTGGCCGACATAGACCAAGGGTCAATGGCCCAGAGTCTGTGGTACAGGTAAGGTCTAACACAGTCAGAGATAAGACACCATGTGACAAAGATGCTGTAGCTTTTTGTCACAGAAATTCAATTTCAGTTTGCATACATGAAGCTGATTGTTGCTTATTTTGTCTCAATCAGGGCTCCAGAGGTAATTTTGGGCCTGTCCTTCAGTCAGTCTATAGACCTGTGGTCTCTAGGAATGACTGTGGTTGAGCTGGCTCTGGGTTGCCCCCTGTTTCCCGGGGTAGATGAGTACGACATCGTAAGTATCTTCACATACGCAAATACTCGCAGCATCCTCGATTTGTATCTCAAGTGTGAGTGTTTTTGTGAATAAGAGATCGGCTCCTAATCAGAACATATGTGTTTTTCCAGTTGAGACACATTGTAAACACACTGGGTGGACCAAGCATTCACCAGCTTGATGCTGGACTGAAGAGCACCCTGTTCTTCAATCTTCACGGCACATGGAGACTGAAGGTATCCATCCATTCATCCATTCATCCATTCATCCATTCATCCATCCATTCATCCATCCATCCATCCATCCATCCATCCATCCATCCATCCATCCATGATTTAACCTAAACTCTGTCTCTTTGTAGACTCCAGAGGAGTTTTTCTCTATGACTGGGCTCTACCGTAAAGACACACAGTGTTTTCACTCTCTGCATGACTTGGAGCTGGTAAGTGATCTAATCAGTCAATCTTTTCAATGTAATGTTATTACAAGAATGTCTTCAATGTCTCAGGAGTCTCATTCTTTGACGATATTTTGAACTTTGTTGTTCCAGATGATGTATGAAAAGGGCAATGCTGAGAGGAAGGAGATGGAGCAGTTCATCAACCTTTTCAAAGAGCTGGTGCAGGTCAATGAAAATGAGCGGATCACACCTGCTAAACTGCTCAAACACCCCTTTCTGACTGTGGAGAATCACAATGACAGCAGACATGTGGCTGTTACCCATAAGGAGCCCACCGTACCTCAGCAGCCTTCCCCAAAAACCACAACACTCCTGCCCGTCGAGGTTGTCCCTCCTTCTCCTCCAGAAGATCTACCCTCTAAACTGGAGGAGACAGCAGTACCCGTCCAGTCTGGTTAGTCACATGTATCTGAATCCCTCACATTCTCCACATGTCTAAAACCCTCACAGGTTTGTGGTGTTTATTGTTCCAGT